CCCCCCCCCCCATTTCGCATGTTTTAATATAGGCCTTAATATGGGGGGAGGGGCTTAATTTCATTTCATGCCTATAAAACATGCTGGGACTTCCTATTGGGGGAGGCCGTATTGTTGGAGAAATGGTATCATTCCATGCTTTCTTACAGCTGACAAGCAATGATGCTAACGTGATGGGGCTGAGGAAACAAGAAACTGAAAAGCATAGAGGGTACCTCGTCTTTGAAGTAGCTTCTATGCGCTTCTCTCTTTTTTTTTTGAATGAATTTTTTATCTTTTAAAAACATCTCATTAGGTGAACAATGTGGTTCCAGGTTTTCGCATTTCAATACAAATGTGACCATAATTACATACCAGCTTTCATATCCATATCATATTATTACTTATTACATTTTTCTTTAAATAATCTCATACACTATTTAACAGTATTATTCATATTCTTATTCACTTTCTATATTCATTACTCTTATTTTGTACAATCTCATCATATTACAGCTTATTTTATTTGTCTTTAAATATTCTCCTGTCTTATTTAACAATATTCTCCATATTCAATTTCTATAATAATTACACACATTTTCTTACATCCGTCACATTTGCAGTTTTTTCCACATATAATTATTCCATTCAAAGGTTTTCCCCCTTTTATTATCAATTCGAGCTTGCCACCCCTTTACTCATTCATTTTCCCCATTTTCTCCCTTTAACCTATTATAAAAATTTATAACAATATAGTGTGTATGTGTTCGGGTCTTTTCCCGTGTAAGATTAAGAGTATCTCACTGCTTGCACTGGCACGAAGCCGAAAGCACCAGCCTGAGGATGACCTCGCCAAAACGTCGCCAAGATACTCATACCTATACCCATGAAAATCTACAAACACACACACACACACACACACGTATATATATTACATCAGATTCCACATGGTATGGGTTGCTCTTAAGCCACAACTTAACTGGTGGTTGATAAAGGTGTAACTGGATGGTCACATTGAAATGTTATCCCATCAGTATGTGAACCGATGGGAAAACGTATGCCAGCAGGGTTAAAGCATCAGGCTAGATAGAAAGTGGAAACTAAATTCTAATCTCACCTTTGCCATGAAAACCAGCTGGGTGAACTTGGGCCAGTGTCTCTCTCTCTCTCTCTGTCAGCCCAAACTGACCTCACTGGGTTGTTGTGGGAAAAATAAGAGAAGGAAGGTGTGTTGGATGCGTTTGCCTTCTTATTTCTAAAAACAATAAAGGCAGATGATGGATGGATGGATGGATGGATGGATGGATGGATGGATGGATGGATGGATGGATGGATGGATAGATAGATAGATAGATAGATAGATAGATAGATAGATAGATAGATAGATAGATAGATAGACAGACAGATAGTAGATGGATGGATGGATGGATGGATGGATAGATAGATAGATAGATAGATAGATAGATAGATAGATAGGTGTGACACGCAAGTTCTTTCTGGCCTCAATGATAAGGCTGATAAGTGGATCCATATACAAATAGATACACTGCTATGTATGTTAAGTTTTGTATTTATGATGGAAATTTATTCTAAATTTATTTTTGCATCCAGTGTCACTTGCTGAGATGGGCAGCCATACAAATAAATAAATAAATAAATAAATAAATACCCCCTGGTTTCATTTCCCCTCCCATTTTCAATCACCCCATTTAAATGTAGGATCAAGGGGCTGTGCAGGGCTCAGCACAGAAGCCAAGATGGCAGGTATAACAGAAATTCCACCCCTTTGTCTGTGAAACCCTATACATGAACAAAGTATGGAGCTTTGATTGCAAGTGTGAGGTGCGAGGCTACGAAAAGACCACCACAAGGTTCGTTGATCCAAGGAAAACAGGATTTTAATGTTTGCAAAAACGGGTTCCCTCAGGCGTTGAAGGAACGCAGAGCAAAATTCAAACGGCACTTTTATACCCTAACTGTCCGCCCCCCGCCCCCCTCGTACGAGGGCTTGGCTCACATTCTTCCTGTTTCAAATTGATACATATTCATTTCAGATTTTGAGGCATAAGCAGCTACATGGTTTCTGACACGTATACACCCTATTACAGTTCTCCATTGTTCTACCCGCATCCAGTTTTTCTACACACTTTGTTACAGTTCATGGCTACTCTCCTACTCACAATCCCTACCACATCCTGCTTATCTCTTTTGTGTTCAAGCTGGAACACTTAGAGCTGCTGAGTTTGAGGCACTTACTCCCTTATAACGAGCAGGATATTTCAAAATGACTTTTGTCCTGCTCACACAAGTTATACTTCCCATAACATAATCTTTTTTTCCCCTGCCCAGCAGATGTCCATAGAAAGTAGATGCTTTGAAAAGTGCATTTAGATATCTTCCCATTTTCCAGATTAGAGAAAACTCTTTAGAGCCTTTTTGTTTTAAAGATCTTGCGCTTTTTCAAAACAACCACCACAATACACGAGCACACAATAGATACAAACTTAAGGTAAACCGCACCAAAGTCGATTGCAGGAAATACGACTTCAGCAACAGAGTGGTCAATGCCTGGAATACACGACCTGACTCTGTGGTTTCTTCCCCAAACTCTAAAACTCTAACCTTAGATTGTCTACTGTTGACCTCACCCCTTTCCTAAGAGGCCTGTAAGGGGTGTGCATAAGCGCACCAGCATGCCTACCGTCCCTGTCCTAATGTTCCCTTTTATTCGTATCCATTTCATGTATTAATAATCATGTTTATAGTTATACCTGTTATCTAACACATGCTTGACTAAATTAATTAAATAAACAAACAAACAAATAAATAAATAAAAAAGGGCACCCAATTGTCTATGTTTGCAATAGTTTGTATGGATTGCCTATTTCCAAGAGTCTAATAGAAGGCCTCATGAACACTTTGGAAAGCTGCAATCTTACATTATTCAGGGGGGTGCCTCTGGGGATGCCCGGGATCCAGCCTCTCCTGCAACCTAAAGCAAAATTGGGCATAGGCAGCCTTTCTTGGGGGAAGAAAGGCTGCCTATGGGATCTGCACAGGCTCCAACCTCTGGTTGCATCTTCATCCCCAACACTCGAAAATCATCCTAATTTGCATCCAGGGCACAAGCAGAGTTAGGAAAAGGGGATAAAGCATTACCTTAAGAGGGCATGCTGTGGACATAAGATTTTAAATCTTTTAAAAAGATGCAAAGCATGCTTATGCTGCATCTAGGAACATGTGATAGCCCCATCGTTTTTACTCCGCATGTTGACTGAGGAATTCTAGGAATTCGGAAGTCCACACATCTTACAAAGTTGCCAAGATTGAGAAACCCTGGATTAACCCACTATTACAGGGCTATTAAGCCTCTCTGCCTTACTGGCATCTTGGCTTAGCCCTGGCGGGTGGATGGCAGGAATCAGCACTGAGGAAAACACCTAAAACTGACAGGTAAATTAAGGAGAAATTTTCTGACAGTGAGAGCAATTAACCAATGGAACCGCTTGCCATCAAAAGTCGTGGAAGTTTTCAAGAAGAGACTGGACTGCCACCTGTCAGAAATGGTGTAGACAAGGGTCTCCTGTTTGGGCGGGGGAGGGGAGGGTTGGACTAGATGACCTACAGGGTCCCTTCCAAACTCTGTTCATCTGAAATCGAGACGTTTTATGTTTATGTTGTGCTTCTCAACATATCCCCGTCCTCGGATTGGCTAAGCCTCTCCGTGCCGTGATAGGATGAAGGCCCGGAGGCGTGTCTCGGCGAACCAATTGGGATAGGCCGCAGGGAGAAGCAGAGGGCGGGATTAAGAGCTGGGTGACAAGGCGATCCGTCCGACGGTGGCCGAGACGGCGCAAATCATGGATGGCCGCCGCTCTGCGCTGTAAACGCCGCTGCTTCGGTCGCTTGGGATCGTTGCCCGGCTGGTTGGCGGCGGCCACTCGCCTCGTCAGCATGGAGGCGGCCGCCTCGTCCTCGGCGCCGGCCCCGCGGTGGCTCAGCGCTCTGCGGTTCGACAACCGGGCTCTGCGGGCTCTGCCGCTGGATCCGAGCGAAGAGAACGTCCCTCGGCCCGTGCCGGGCGCCTGCTTCTCCCGGGTGCTGCCCACGCCAGTGCGGGGCCCGCGGCTGGTGGCTTCCTCCGCGCCGGCGCTGGCTCTGCTGGGCCTGAGGGAACCGCAGAGCCCGGAGGAGGAAGAGGAGGCCGCGCTCTACTTCAGCGGGAACCGGCTGCTGCCGGGAGCGGAGCCGGCCGCCCACTGCTACTGCGGCCACCAGTTCGGCAGCTTTGCGGGGCAGCTGGGCGACGGCGCGGCCCTGTACCTGGGGGAGGTGTTGAACCCGCGAGGGGAGCGGTGGGAGATCCAGCTCAAGGGCGCCGGACTGACCCCTTTCTCCAGGTAAAGAGAGGCGGAGGAGCTGCTGTAGGTCAGTCGGTCTGTCTGGGTGTGTCTCTATATCTATCTATCTATCTATCTATCTATCTATCTATCTATCTATCTATCTATCTATCTATCTATCTATCATCTACCTACCTACCTACCTACCTACCTACCTATCATCTGTCTGTCTATCTATCTATCTATCTATCTATCTATCATCTATCTATCTATCTATCTATCTATCTATCTATCTATCTATCTATCTATATCTATCATCTACCTATCATCTATCTATCTATCTCTATCATCTATATCTATCTATATCTATCATCTATCTATCTATCTCTTATCATCTATATCTATCTATATCTATCATCTATCTATATCTATCATCTATCTATATCTATCATCTATCTATCTATCATCTATCTATCATCTATCTATATCTATCATCTATCTATCATCTATCTATATCTATCTATCATCTATCTATCTATATCTATCATCTATCTATCTATCATCTATCTATATCTATCATCTACCTATCATCTATCTATCTATCTCTATCATCTCTATCTATCTATATCTATCATCTATCTATATCTATCATCTATCATCTATCTATATCTATCATCTATCTATCTATCATCTATCTATATCTATCATCTATCTATCATCTATCATCTATCTATCTATATCTATCATCTATCTATCTATCATCTATCTATATCTATCTATCTATATCTATCATCTATCTATCTATATCATCTATCTATCTATCATCTATCTATATCTATCTATCTATATCTATCTATCATCTATCTATCATCTATCTATCATCCATCTATCTATATCTATCATCTATCTATCATCTATCTATATCTATGTATCTATATCTATCTATCTATCTATCTATCTATCATCTATCTACCTACCTACCTACCTATCATCTATCTGTCTGTCTGTCTATCTATCTATCATCTATCTATCTATCTATCTATTATCTATCTATCTATCTATCTATCTATCTATCTATCTACCTACCTACCTATCTATCTATCTATCTATCTATCTATCTATCTATCTATCTATCTATCTATCTACCTATCTACCTATCTATCTATCTATCTATCTATCTATCTATCTATCTATCTATCTATCTACCTACTTACCTATCTATCTATCTATCTATCTATCTACCTACCTATCTACCTATCTACCTATCTATCATCTATCTATCTACCTACTTACCTATCTATCTATCTATC